AGGATATATATAACTCGATAATTATATTATGCACATTTACGTCTTGCTTTAAATCTCATATCGTGTATTATATTTGTTACAAATTTATTTAATGTAAATATATAATTGAATTCATTTAATGTAAATATATAATTGAATTCATTTTAGGAAAGCTAGATAATTTTTTATTACTTATTTTCTCTTTTCATTAGGCATTTTTTAATTTCTTGGAAAATAAAGAACAATTTTTTAAATGATATTCTTTTCGAAATGATTCTGATTCAAGCAAGTCGAATTGTAAGTATAATTCTCTTGAGAAAAGGATATAATGTGGGAAATTAATCGATTAATATATTTTAGATAAAAATTCGTATATTATCTTACTTAACAAACGCGGATTATAGTTGATTTTTTATATTCTTCAAATTTATTATTATAATTTTTGACGATGATATAAAGTAAAAGATGCGAAAGAACGAAATTTATTTATGGAAAATATATAATCTGCTGTTAGATATTTGACAATTACAAATTTCTCAATTTGCCATTTATATTGTTCCGGCAATTTAGTTGAAACTTTGACGAGGCGTTTATCTTTTTAATAGATGATGATAATCATCAAACTTTCACTATTCGGTGCAAAATGGCTGAGAGTTATGGTTTGATTTTTAGATCATTATCGTTCTAGCCATAATATTTAATCTAATCTTTAGTGAAATTGTATTATACGTGGATTAAAGCGTTCATTAATATCTTGGAAAGAAAAATAAAAGTGAAACTTGCGGCAAAGAAAATTTGCATACATTGGGGTAGCGAGCATAACAAGGATTAGAGAAAAAAAGATCCTCTTTTTTCGCAAAAGATCCTCTTTTCTCCTTCTTTCTCTTTCTCTCTAATATTTAATAATGCGTGGCAGACCACATTTATAAAATATATAATATATGATCCATGTTCAAGTTACAATGAAAAAAAAATAACAAAATGCTATTTTGTGGTAAATGAAATTTTTTACTAGAAAATTGTAATAACAAGTAAAATAACATGAAAAATTGAGAAGGATGAAAAATAATAAACTGAAAACAATCTAATTGATTTTTTCGATATTTCACAAAATATGTAAAATATTATTCCATTTGATTTCTCTGAATCATATAAATATGATATATCCTATAAATGTTTATGTTTTATATAAAATTGTTTTTTCGTTAATAAATAAATAAATCTTTAAATATTGCCCTATACATCTTATAAATAAATATACGAAATATTCTTTAAAATAATTTTATAGAAGATGATTTTGGACGCGCTGTATTATTATTTATACACGATTTACAAACAAAAATTTAGAATAAAATGGAATCTTAGGGACTCTATTTAAGCTGCAATTATATCATTCAAAGTGCGTATACAGATTTATTTTCGACCCTCGAAGTGCATGAAAGGCTTAAATCCATTTAGCTAGCATTCAGACTGATTACGAGCATTCGGAAGTAAGGGTGGATCATGGAAATCGCCCCTAGTCCTTCCCTTCAATACCTGCAGCATTGGTGGTCAGTCTACATCGGTCAGGGTCGTCATCACGGCTCTCCGAGTCTCGCTGCTATTCGCAGCACAGTTAAGAGTATGAGCGTATCTAGCGAACGCGAAAACGTTTCTCGTCCTTTCACTTCCACAAACGAGACAGACACATCGACCTAATCGCGCTTCAATAGCCAGTGGCGTAAATTAAGCGAATCCTCTATTCCCCCACTCTGAACCTACGTAAATCACGCGCAATTATCGAGATCTGATATTCGACTCGAATATTGAAAATTGTAGCAGCATGTCTGATTCTAGCGGGAATCGGTATCTCAAGAAACGATCTTACATCAAAAAGCTGTCATCTGTCTTTAAAAAACAAATTTAATTCTTAAGTCTTAAATATGTGTATACATGTACGAAGAATATATACTCCCGAACAAAATTAACACATAATTTTTTTCACTTTTTCTCCAAAAGCTGATATTTAAATTTTGACGAAAAATTTTAAAGAAAAGATGAAAAAAAATTATGTGTCAATTTTGTCCAGGAGTATATTAATGTTTAATTACAACTATAATAATTATAATCTTACATACATTCTTTATCGACTTTTTAATAAAACATCTAAAATTATACTTCAACTAAAAATAAATGATAATAATTACACAATTTTTATTCTCACTAGATATTATTTCCTTAGTTTAGAAAAGATCTCGACATCACGAAAGAAATAACGAAGGAAACTCGCGCGTGCTTTAACGAGTGCAGATTACAACTATAGATGAAAAGATATCACTGTACGGAATTAGAAGAATCTAAAAGACGACAAAAGGCGACGATTCCCTTTCTACAGGAGTGGCGTGGTACCCTACGCCATTGACACGAGCACAAGCATAAGAGAAGCGAGTAACGCTGCGAGAGGATTTCTGGTGCAATGCACCTGTGAACTCGCAGGAGGGCATTGTGCAACAATTAGAGGCGGCCGTGCCGACCACCGGTTAACCATCGCGCTTCGTGCCTTTAGGAAGGTACGGAGGATGCGGTGGCATCCGTCACGCGCCAGGACACTAGGGAAATAAATAGATCGGAGGCACGTTTCTTTTTTCAAAATGTCCCGGCAAAAATACCCTCTCTCTCGAGAACACGCGAGAATGTCACCACCATGAAAGTCGCCCACAAATTTCCCAACAATTCGCTTTCTCGCGAATTCACAAGTGCGCTGCACCAGAAATATTTTCCTCGAATCAAAAGAAAGGCAACAGAACCACAACCGCAGAAAGAAGTGCGTAGAAAAATATTTAAATCTTAATTACATAAATATTTTTTGAACATAGTATAATTACAAAATAAGAAACGCATACAATATGTTCTTATGAGATCTGTCGACAAAACTCATAAGAACATATTGTATGAGTTTCTTATTTTGTAATTATATTATGTTCAAAAAATATTTATGTAATTAAGATTTAAATATTTTTCTACGTACTTCTTTCTGCGGTTGTGGTTCTGTTGCCTTTCTTTTGATTTGTGATTTTATCATTTGAACCTCTTGCGACAAACTTTTTATATTAAATATTTTTCTGCTTTTTCGTTTTTTTTTCTTTGAATTTTTTTAGCGTTTATATATTTTTCGCGATTTTTAACTGCGATATTACTCGCGAGAGAATTAAAGCTAAACGCGAGTTAATTATAATTTCAGAAATTATGTGAAATTCAAAAAGGAACTAACAGAGAGTCCGGAGACGATTACTCCTCTTATCATGCGTGCGTTTTACGCGACACGCACCCGGCAAAGCGTACAAACAACGACAGTCTCTAAAGGAGATTCTACAGAGAGTTGTCGCAGACACGAAGTCTCTTAATTTAGGAATGCATAATTAAGCCGTAGCAATTTAAACGCTTAAGAGAGAATAAAGCTGTCGCTTTGAATATATTATATTACATTAATAACGAGAGAATGTGTAATAAAACCTAGGATTCGAACGAAACGATTGATTTTTGAATAAAGTTTGAACGGAATATTAATAGGAATAGAAATTGGAAATATATTTTTATAGTATTTCCCGATAAAAGGTATTTTTACTGGAAAAACTTTTTCATGAAAAGCACATTTTATTTAAAAAATATTAAATTTGATATTATATTTAGTACAATTTAATTAAATTATATAAATTATCTCGACTCTGTGCGTAGGATGTTATATCAATTTTACGTAATTTTAATATGACAGATTTATTTTAAATGAAATGGAATAATTTTAAAAACTGTATGTATATACCCTAAACCACAAATTATATAACGTTAAAGTTTATTTTTGATGCAACGTAGTAATTTAATCTCTATGCATGTAATTTTAATTAATCCTTTAGCTATGACGCCGGAGGTACCTAAGCCGAACCAGTGTATCTTGCGCAACAATATCTAACGAATATTGCGCGATTCTTTAAAGAAAATTTATTGAATAAATATTATGCGCATGTATAAAAAAAAGCATCGTTAAATATATTAAAATTGTTCATTATTGAATGTAAACATTGAAGAAAAATAATTTTCTATTTTAATCTCATTTTTTATGGAAAACCAAATCATACAATTAATGTAACTTGCGTTAAACTTTCGTGCGAATTGAAAATCAGCAATTTTTTTATGCTTAGCACAGCATTGCTACAAGGTAACGCGTTATTCGATATCGTCCGTGTATATACAATCTTTGCATCAACGTATATGTATATATATATATATATATATATATATATATATATATATATATATATGTACGCATTGCTCATAATCGTTTACAACGAAGACGCGATAAAATATTGACACGCAATAAAAACCATATCCAACATCACTTATAATATAATATATAGAAAATTAATCGAAGAACACAGATATAATTCTATAAAAAAATTAACCAAACTCTCTCTCTATTTATCTCTCTTATATATGATAATCTGCCGTCATATATGAGGCTTTCAAGAAAATTGGATTAGAAATTGGAAAATTAATATTAAATTTGTCATTTTCTTTGAGTTTGTATAATTTTCAAAATGGCATTATAAATTGATGAAATCGTATCAACACAATTATTAAGACACGATCAAAAATACGATATTTAACTTTAAAAAATGAAGTTAATCTCGATATTTTCTTAAAATGAAATTCATTATTTATTTTTGATAGCTATATTGCCGAAAAATACATTATACTAAATAATAAAGTAATATTTAAAGTTACATTTACGGAAATGTGTACAAAAAAACATTATTAATAATTAAGTTTAAAATCGAAATTTTGAAAGAAATTTTACTTGACATTTTCGACTTACTTCTTTTATCTCTTATTCACGCGATTGTATCATCAACAATTATTCGACTATTCAACCTAATAATTAAATGACACTTTTGTTTATGTGTACATATGGCGACAATCCCACGTGTGCCCGCGCATTATCACGCGAGATGTCAAAATGCCAAAGCGAATTTTCTCTTTCCTCTTACCTGGTATCTCGTCCTGAGCCAAGCTGTAATCCGCGAGACATGCGAAGAGGAACGCGGCACTAAACTGTATCAGTAGCGTCGCCAGGTTACCCATTTCTCCGAGTCGACATAATTCCCTCGTTATGATGACAAGAGAGAGATCATGACGCGAGATCGCGCGAGTTCATAATCGGTCCCGTTACACTTCTCGCAACAGCGAACGACAACACATCCACTCCACGCGATGGTCGACAGCAGACTGCGGCTCGCGTTACTCGCTTCACTTCACTCCGGCAGATTATCAGCGTTGGCAGCGCCCTCTTGCGGTGGACATGCAAACGAAGTAATGACGTGTTATACGTACTAGTGTGCGAATACTTACGAATCTTACGTGTATGTATGTGTGTATATGAATGAATATAAAATAAAATAATAAATTTACATATATGAATGTAAAAAACTTACGTAAAGAGAGATAAGAAGGCAAGAATTTGTAAATTGTCATTGGAATTGTTAATTTTGAAACTTGTCGATGAATTGACAAACGAAATATGACGATTATAAGACTAAAATGATGCTATATCATACATATATCAACACACATTTTTACAATTACAAATGCAACGCGAGACAAGAAATTTTTAAACATTTATATTGAGGATATAAATTGAGAGTAATTATATATTAATGTATAAATTTTTTTTATATTTACATTAAGCGCAAGCTTCGACGATATACTTGCAATATGTTTATAAGTTGAAATTTATGTGAAAGTTGTGATGATTAAAATGTATATATGCTACATTCGACGTTTTCACTCCTCGTATTAAAAATACTCTCGACTTTATTTCGACGCGCATGCAAGATTCGCTTTTAAATAGTAAATAATTGAGCAGAAATGCAGAATGATTTTCACGATATTACCACGATCGTTCGATTCGAAAACTCCTAAACCGAAGATGGTTGGGCGTAAAAAAAGGGCCAGTTTGAAACTGATTTTGGACGACCTCGTGCGGCAAAAGCGTGAGATTCCACGAATAAAGGTAACCAATCGATAAAATATACAAGACTAGTGAATAAAAATATAGTGACATTAGATAAAAAAATATTGACATAGGGATTAATCGAATTCGAAAACATCAAAAGAAGTATATCGATCTTTTAATAAATATCGATTAACCGCTCGAATATTATAAATTTAAAAGCGTTGCTAGGCAACGTTACCCTAAACATGATACACTTTTCGTGTATTTGTTCATTTCTATAAAAAAATTTATGTAGATTAAAATGTAGTGTATATCGATATATTTATCAACATCTTATAAAATATCTTATAAAATATTGTAAAATAATACCTAATGTATAAGAAATATAGCGAGTAGTGTTCACCAAAGTAAAATTTCTATAAAGCTACACTGTTTTTAACAATTATATAACCTTTCTGCTTCTTAATGCTAGCCTTATAAATTTTCACTCACGTTATTTAATTTATAAACTTGTGATACATCATGCCCTTATTCTCCAATAAATTTTCTCCTAAAAAAACACCGACTAGAAAGGCATCAGTTTTCTTAGCAAACAAAAACTTAAGTCCTAAAAGAATAGAAAAAGAACTCGGCCCTGAAGTAGGTCCTATACGTCTTCGTCTTGGAGACCAGGAAGCTGTTTTTGAGGCTGGCCTTTGGATTCCAGGTGAATAAGAATTTATCATTCATATAAATTTTACTCTATAGAAATTTGATCTTTTGCTGATTTTTTTGTGTATAAAAATGAATATTGTTTTAAAATCTAATAAACTTTGTTTTAGAATCAGGCAGGGTGGGAGGTACTTTCAAAGAGAATGAAAAATTAAAAAAAGAAGTAAGGCGATTGGAGGAAGAGAATAACTTGTTAAAACTAAAATTTGATGTACTATTAGATATGGTAACTCTTTTTACATTACGCTTCTTAAAGTTAGACAGCTGATATGTCTAAAATAAAAACTCATTTTTATACAAAATAATCTTATCAATATTATAGCAAAAATACAATATATCGACGATAAATGATATATGTAACACTGTATATTATTTTATAGTTAACGCAAACAACCGCCGAGGCTCATTTACAAAGAGAAGAATTGGAGAGATTAAAAAATAATTTTTCTCATAATAGGAGAGTTGTCACTTAGTTTCAAGCACTGGCATTTTACTAACAATTAAGGAAACAATGACTACAAAATAAGATCAATTAATTTAATTATTCATTTAAAGAGTCAAATTATATCTTTTAACTTTATATTTATAAGAGCCGTCAATTCAAGAAATGTCTCTGTTTGACACTGCTTTGTTATACTTTTATGCTTGTAACAACTTCAGTCTCATTATTATTTGTACATTATTTACAATTATAATATATTTATACAATATTGAAAAAAATTCGCTCATTAACGTCACATATTTTCTGGACATCTATTTCTTGTATGTCCTATAAAAAATAATTAATTATGTAAAAAAACAATATACGATTAAAGTATAATAATAGATATAATTGAAAGATTATAATAAAAGATTACTATTCTGAAAAAACTAATAAATTTGATAAAAAGATTAATTCTCTATACATTACCTTCAATTCCACAATTTCCACACTTTCTCTTACCGCCAGTGAGTCTAGGTTTTTTAGGAGCACTACCTTTTTGAGGGATTCTGCTACTTTGATTTCTTCCTTTATTTGTAGTGAAATTATTCCAATCTGTATTTCCATGATTATCGACATCATTTTCGTCTGCCCACTTGAAAAAGTTGCAAGTGGAGTTCATACCTTTTGGACATCCATAAAATTGTCGCCCCTTATTGGGACCGTCTTTCTGAACCGTTAATCTAATAATTAAATTAATATCTTTAGCAAAGTAAAGAAACTATCTAATATTTATTATCGATATTAATTCAGATTTCAACTTATCAAATTTAAATGCATTTTATTAATTATCGATATTAATTGAATCCAACTGATAGAATTTTTCCGAGAGGGTTTACTTACTTTCGAGCAGGCTGATTACATTGGCATACAATCGTATCGTTCGTTGATGAATTTCCCCAATCATTGTTAGAGGTATTGGTAGTGCGAGAAAAATGACCAGCATTAACATTGTTTCTATCTAGATTAGATACTCGATTCGAATGTTGGCTCGCTACATCATCTCTAGATTCAGTGCTATCAGATGCCCACAAGAAAAAATCGCAGCCGCTACCTTGCGGTTTAGCACATTTGTAAAACAAACGTCCTGGAATTACAAAAATATTATTATTTAAAATGATTTACGCTACAAAAATTTATACGCCTTCCAAAATAGCTATCGCTTACCTTTATTTGGTCCTTCTTTTCTTACTGTTAATTGAATCGCTATCTCGTGACAGTTGCACATAATCTCTGCATTATTATCAATATTACCCCATACACTAGTTTTATTATCTACATTGCGAGCATTTCTGGGCGCAGATTGATCCGATAAACTATTAAAATTATGTGTATTAATCCAAGAAGTAGAATTTTCTCTATTATTTGATATTGTCGTACTTTCACGAATGGTATTCGGCCTATTTGGTTGAGAAACATTAAAACTATTTTGTGCCTGTCTCCTATTTGTGCCGATTGAGTCAATATTGTTATTTTGAACAGATCTTATATTATTAGAAACCGATTGTTGTTGTTGAGACGTATATTGGGATGTACTTGAAGATGTAGAAGTCAAGCTTGATGTATTTCTTGTATTGTTATGAACAATATTTGTTCTTTCAGTTTGCCTGATACAATCCTGCTTTATGTTTAATATTTCATTAAATGCGTTATCACAGCCTATGCACGTTGTATATGAGGTACCATATAAAGGTAGCACATTTCTGACTAATGTAAATTTCAATTTGTGAATATTTCCTGTGCACTGAAAATATGAATCATGTATGAAGTATTAATTTATTTATAAACTATACACACATATTCATGCGAGATATTGCCATTGAAGATATAATTTATTTACCTGATTACATATTTCATTTAAAATCTCTACATCTTTTACAGCTTCTGGGAACCAGATCACATTGAGACATGTTGGATATCCCATACAACTAATATATTTTCCTTTGCCTTGCTTTCTTTCTTTCAAAACCATGTTCGATCCACATTTTGGACATTTAAAAATAGCGACGTCTGTGACTAAAGGAAATTGTATTTGTTCACTTTGAGTTGGTCTCTCATCAAGATACTGTGCTAAAGCATCATCTATTAGATTAGCGCGTTCCATTGCTACTTTGAACACTTCGCGATATGTGTCGATTTGATTTTGTAACACTTCATTCGGATCTTTTCGACGCTCGCAAATCCTACGATAATAATTGTGTATCATGAAAGTAAATTTTTTTGTGTATCACATTTTAAAGCATGGGAAAGAAAAGAAAGAAAGAATTAATTATGCACAGAGTTATTAATCGCCTTACAATTTTAAATCGTTTTCTAGACTTGCACGCAAATGCGGTTTAGACATTTGGAATCCCATATTGTCATATCCCATGACCAAACCAATTCCCAACTTGCCCGGCATGAAATGTTGACTATCTGTTAAGCCTACGTATTGCCTGGATTTAATAGTGTCAATGTGATCGGCGTGAGTGGCGTCTGTGCCAATGCCGTGTTTGTCCATCAGCGCGATCAATTCGGCTTCAGTCAGCAAGTTCGGCGCTGAAGTTTTTTCTTCCACCATATCTATGCTAGTCGGTCTGAAAACTTGTCTTTGCTCATAAGAATGAATCTGCTTATTGTTCCATTTATCATATATATATACATCAAGATAATTTTTTGCTATGATTTCGAGGCCGTTAGTCGTGAATTTTTCTCCCGCTATATCAATCTCTACTGTTGTTTCACGGCCTTCTGCATTTTTTGATAAACAAGCTAGAAAATGTCGAACTATAAATTCGTAGACTCTTGCTTCGTTTCCTGTCAAGTTACAATTAATACAATTAATAACACGATCGATTTAATATTGAATAGAAGAAGAAATATCTTGACAAACCTTGCAAACTGTCTGTGTATTTTGTGGGATGAATAGGAGGATGTGCTTGATCAGATTTCTTTCCTTGTCTGGGAGTTATCCCAGATTCCAATAAACCTCGTGCAAAGTCACCCCATGCCTCATGATTTACTTGTTGCTCTACTAATGGTACCAGATTTAATTCTTTTGGAAATATATTAGTTTCAGTGCGCGGGTAACTAATAAAACCTTGAGTATACAATTTCTCTGCTATTCTCATTGTTTCCTTTGCATTTAAGCGTAATTTACGAGAGCCCTGCTTCTCTAATTCCTGAAAAGTAATGATTTTTTAACTGATATATCACTGATACAAAATAATAAACTTTTCTCTTCCAATATAATAATACAATTACTTACAATGGTATCTAAGGGTAGAGGCCTCCATTTACTTTTTGGTTTGCACATTACTTTTTCCACTGTAGCTTCCGGCCGCTCCAAACACATGTCCAAAAAAATCTGACAAGGCATCTTCTCGAACAATCTTACTCTAGCCCATCTGAATTCTACTGCTATTTCATTGCGATCATCTATCACTTTTATCTTCCAGTATGGCTCGGACTTGAATCGATCAATAGCTAAAAATCTTTCAACTACAAATCCAAGTGTGGGAAATTGACAGCTTCCATAACTGATAAGCATATCTCCAAGAGTATTGGGAAACACTTTCTGCAATCTTAAAGTCTGAAATCTTGTAAATGCAGCACCTATCAACATGTTAAAAACTCATATGTAGAGATTATAATCATATTATGAATCCAATTAACAATATAATCTTAATTAACAGAATCAGTACCAATTCTTAAATCTAATTCGCTTCTTACGTCTACGGCATCGCTTGTCGCCTTATCTGGTTCCCCCAAAGTTGACAGAGCTCTTTCAATTGACTGTTTTGTAATCTCTGAGAATTTTGCCCTGAAATGTAATAAGCTTGTAACTATCACAAATATATGAAAAAACATGTTTCTAATTACCTGTATACACGGATATTTGGCTTGACTGTCTGACAGACCTGTATAATCTCAAAACCTATATTTTCTCCTTCTCTATCACAATCTGTCCAAATAATTAATGCATTGCAAGATTTTATTTCTCGCTCCAAAGTTTTTTTAATCTTTATGTAATTTTCTTCCGAACACTGTTTGGATACCGGAGCATCAAATAAGCTAAGTGGATGACAGCCTTGCCATTTACGATACGCTCCTGTGAATTCGTAGCCTAATAAGTGGCCAGATACAGATGTCATCACCATTTGACAGTTTTGGTTCCATAATTGTACATTAAATTCAAAAATTTTATTATATACAGATAAGCCTTCTCTCTATAAAGAAACAGAAACAATGAATAATGTATTTCTCATCTAATACATTTATGAATAAATATAATTAAATGATAAATAAAAAGTTATATACAAACAGTGTAATTAAATATTCTACAAAGGACATACTGTGTAATAGATAATTATTTACCTTTCTGCTTGTACCATGTGATAAATGAGCAGCGATACTCTTAGCAGCATCATGTTTCTCAGCAACATTGAGAACTTTCATGTTAAACTTTGAACAATATCGGTTTATCGAATAAGAGACATTTGTAAATTTCCACAAATTACTTTTGGCGGCTGTGCTTTTAAGTGTGAGATTATAAAATATTGTACAATTTAATACGATATTATGCAATTTGGGGAAAGCCATAACATAATTTTCGACATTGCCGGTAATTTTTAGTTGAAAATTTATAGATGAAATTATTTAAACGTTTAACTTAAAAATATGTGTAACAACAATGCTAATAATCAAATTTCTTATTTAATTGAAATAGATACTAAAATATATCTGTGAGGAAAATAAACGTCTTCCCGACGACAGCTCAAAAAAATTCGCTCCAAAAAATTAGACTTTCCTGAATTATGCAGGCTGGTAGTATCTGGTAAACCTCCTGCCACTCCTAAAACTGCATGTGTATCACCGAGTTGAAACGACAAATTTGTTAAACGCACTGATTGGTTATCCCAATAGGAATTTTAGGAATTTTTTTATTAAAACCAATCAGTGGCTGTAGTGAAAAAACGTTAAAAATGTATCGAAGTTTTGCATTAACCAATGGCCGCATTCAGCGGACTCAACCGCTAAGTAGCAATCGAATATGATTGGTCTCTACTTTCAGGTCCGACCAATCAGCGTCGAGTTACATCGGAAAATCTAGTAATGTTGCCCAACTGTTGAGTCCGCTAAATGTGGCCAATCAGAATAAAGAAAATTTTATTCTCTTTGTCCTGATTGGTCAATCGAACTGATTTAATGCTTCGGAACAGGGAGCTTCCCGTTTGACCACGTTGCGATTGACCACAGCCAATTATATCGACCTGTGCCTAGGGTAACCAGCAACGATTAACCAATCAGAGAGTCCTATTTTGAATTGGCCAATTGGCGACGTGGGGCAATCGGGGGCAATCGGGTGCCACCCTTCGAAATTTACTATATTCAAGAACCCGCACTGCTTCTCAGAGACTTTTGCATTTCGCAGGTTTCGAGACATGTCGAACGGAAAATAGAAAGAACTGGAAAGTAGCAGTAGACATTTTTCGATATTTTGCATAATAATTTTCGATGTGTTTTTATTCCAGTACACGTAAGTATGGAGAGATCACATTGCGTTAATAACGACAAGCAAAAATCTTCGGCCGAAAGATTAACACGTGTGTCGGATAAATGCGATCTCTATTTTGTAAATCATACGTTTTTTCTACGACACATGACCCAACAATTTACAAAAAATAGCTTCGTAATATCGGATATGATTTGTAATTGCTAATGACGATTCCGTTACAATTTGTAATTGTTAATTCGCTCGATGATTATACATATTGTTTCCTATATAAAAATTTTAGATGTGTCATTAAACAATTATGTCATAGAGCGTTTGTCTTTTGTTCACCTTAAAATTGCAGACGCAAATACGCAATATAACTGTTACTGAACTCTTATATACAGATATGATTTAAAGTTTTACGTTATATCATTGTAATAAATTACTTCTCTCATAGTTCTAATTCGACTTTTGAATTCATTTTTCTTTTCATGTGCAAATATGACTACCCCACATACATTTGTTTTTTAATATCCTTTTTCAAATTTAAATTTCCATTTGAAAAATGGGGAAAATATGCTTGTTTTATAAATAATTAGTTAATGTCATGCCTCATTTTATTTGAACCTCTTTTGAAATATCGCAAGATAGAATATCACAATTATACTATACTCTTTACACTTATGGTAGATACAATCATCTGCACAAGAATATATGAATTTATATCTTACATATTTTGTTTTCAGCGATAAAGGGTCAGTTCTGACTTCCTCTTTGTGGTACATGTTTCTCATCTAACCAAACATGACGGAGGACATGTTGGGTGCGGATATTTGCAGGGTCTGTCGATCCGAAGGCCTTGCAGACAGACCTTTATTTCATCCATGCATTTGCACGGGTAGTATTAAATGGATACATCAAGAATGTCTGGTTCAATGGATGCGTTACTCACGTAAAGAATACTGCGAACTTTGTGGCTACCGCTTTTCATTTACACCTATATATAGTCCAGACATGCCACGCCGTTTACCGTTAAGAGATGTCGTAGGTGGTTTATTTTCAAGTATTGTCACTGCTGTCAAGTATTGGTTACATTACACGCTAGTGGCAATTGCATGGCTAGGAATTGTTCCTCTAACAGCGTGCCGCACATATAGAGCTCTTTTTAGCGGTCCGCTTGATTTAGTTCGAGTAAGTAATAAATGTGTCTAAATTAATCTTGATATTTCTAATAGAAGAAAAATTTATAAGCTGTGCTATGATTTATTTTTTGCAGATAATGTCGTTACCGATGGATATGCTCTCCACTGAAAATATTTCATCGGATGTATTTCACGGTTGTTTTGTAGTTACCTGCACCTTATTTGCGTTTATCGGTTTAGTATGGCTACGCGAACAAATTTTACACGCGGGTGGACCTGACTGGCTCGAGAGAGACAATGTACAGTTGCCCCCAGTTGATAATCCGCCGCAAGCAAACGCACAACAGCCACAACAGCCTCAAGAACAACGTGCTATGCCTCAAGAAGTTCAGGAAAACAATAATGTCCCTCCTTTTGTTGACCCACCTATTCCACAAGAGGGAGAGTTACATAACGAAGGTATTCCACAATAAATATGATTTTTCATATTTCTGAGAGTGACAAGAACATAATAGATTGATTGTATTTGTTTCTACAACACATTGTCTAGTTCTTTTTATTTAAATTGGATCGTTTTAGATCAGCGTCCTGCATACCCAGAAGTGGCAGAAAACTTAGCCAATAATCCACGAATCGGTGAACCCGAAGATTTGAGAGATGTACAAGCACCAATTCCTCCTGCACCACCTCTTCCAGAACTCAACCTCCAGAGAATCAGAGACGAACTTGGTGCAGATGGTGCACAAATAAATGCTGTAGGTGGTGTGCACGTACTTTGGGAAGCACCGAGAGAACAAGCACAGGGTGAAGCTGAGGAAGCCAATTGGAATCCTATGGAGTGGGATAGACCTGCTGAGGAATTAACATGGGAACGTCTCTTAGGATTGGACGGGTCTCTCGTCTTTCTCGAACATGTCTTCTGGGTTGTATCCCTAAATACATTATTTATCATGGTGAGTTTATTGTTTCATAAAGATGGTGTTCTCTTTTAGTTTTTTTTTACTTATAATATATATGTATTTATATTTTTTTTGCAGGTATTTGCTTTTTGCCCGTATCATATTGGTCATTTTACTATAGCGGGTTTAGGATTACAAGAACACGCGGCGGCGTCACACTTTGAAGGCTTGGTGACAACATTATGCGGTTACTGTGTTATTGGAGTTTGTCTAGTGGTCCTCCATACTCTTGCTGCTCTCTTAGGCTTTCAGCGTTCCCAGCGAATCTTAGGGCTTTGTTATGTTATCGTCAAAGTCTCTTTACTCTCCGTCGTGGAGATTGGCGTACTTCCATTAGTTTGTGGTTGGTGGTTGGATATTTGTTCGTTGGCAATGTTCGACGCCACCCTTCGAGATCGAGAGTCCTCATTTAGACTCGCTCCCGGCACGTCTATGTTCATTCATTGGCTGGTGGGAATGGTCTACATATATTATTTTGCATCGTTTATTCTTCTCTTACGCGAAGTTTTGCGACCCGGAGTTCTCTGGTTCCTGCGAAATCTGAACGATCCTGATTTCTCTCCTATACAAGAGATGATACATCTTCCCATCCTGCGACACGTACGGCGATTAGTCGCGTCCGCGATCATATTTGGCACGGCGATTTTACTCATGTTGTGGCTGCCTGTAAAAATTCTGCGATGGGCTTGGCCAGGATTTTTGCCCTACACTGTGACCGTACAAAGCGAAGCTCAGGTAATAAAAATATAATAGCAATTATATTAAGTCATCTTAATTGTTGTTTTATAACAGCTATTCTATATGCAGAGCATATGCATAAATTAAATAATTAAGTGTATATACATATATAATTTATGATTCTTTAAATTGTAGGTCAGCGAACTTTCATTGGAACTGCTTCTACTACAAGTGATCCTTCCCGCGCTATTAGAACAATCGCATACACGTACATGGTTAAAGGCTCTAGTGAGAGCGTGGTGTCGCGTAGTAGCATGGATGCTGGATCTGCAGTCGTACTTGTTGCGTGATCAGACGGACGATCCGGGATTAGCGGTCATCGAAGAACCACAACATCCGGACTTGGGCGCTGCGCATCAAGCATTATTGCAGCGAGAGGGACCTACAGGATTTCAGCCTTACACCAGGCCACGATGGTTTCCCGCACGATTGGTCGGGCTTTTGTTCTGCGTTTGCGTGTCTCTCGTGATCGCTAGTTTAATCGCTATGACGCTACCCGTATGGCTTGGACGTAGAGTAATGGCGTTATGGATGGTAGGGGCACCTGCTCCATCGCCGCCTGTTTTACCACCTGCAGTGACCGGTTCCGGTAAGTCGTTTACAAATTCGTTTCCGATATTATTCCTTTTTATACAGTAATTTTTTATAACAAATGTATAAAGAAGATATTCAGCGAAAATATACATATTTTCGGTGATTTTCATTACATTGCTTTTATTATTTTACTTTTAGATGGTGGTGAGACTGTAGGCTCTCTTTCCGGAAGAGTACACGAAGTATATACAGTAGCATGTGGAACGTACGTCTGTTGGGCCGCGGCACGAGGTTTAGCGCTGGCCTTCTCTTGGTTACCTCGTGGTCGCAGAGCAATTATAGATCGAATTAAACACTGGGCGATATTGGGTGTGAAAGCCTCGGTGGCATTCGTATTACTTGTCGGTGTCATACCACTTTTATTTGGTCTTCTTCTCGAATTAGTGGTGGTAGTTCCATTGCGTGTTCCGTTGGAGCAAAATCCTATCCTGTTCATCTGGCAAGATTGGGCTCTGGGCGTATTGTATACGAAGATTGCTACTGCTGTCACGATGATGGGGCCCGATTGGCGAATACGTCTCGCTATTGAACGAGCATACAATGATGGCATAAGAGAAATGGATCTAAAATTTGTCGTCAAGGAATTGGCAGCTCCCGTCATATGTTGCTTTGGCCTTGCCCTTGCAGTTCCTTACGCCGTGGCCTATGGAATAGTTCCGCTTTTTGTGACCAATCTGCAAACTCAGATCCTCATTGCCAGACGTTTATATCCTTTTCTTCTTTTAGTGAATCTGGTCTGTGTAGTGATCTATTTTCAGATACGCCAATTCAAGAAGCTGTACGAGCATATTAAGAACGACAAGTATCTCGTAGGACAAAGGCTCGTCAACTACGAACATCGTAACAAATCGCAACAACAATCTCAAAGGTCAAGCTAACAACATCAGTAATATTATACAAAACATTATGGTGAAAGATGAATTCTAGGATTAGCTTCGTGTACATTCTGTAACAACTACTTACTGATCAATCGTTTATATTATAGTCACGATTTTATTTTTAATATTATAATTTATTTATGTAAAGCGATACTGAATAAATCAAAAAGACTGTTATCCAGTGTATCGCTCCTCATTTTGATACTTTACAGTTTTAATATCGTGCGAATTTCAATTATTTTATATGATAATTTTTATCTTGATTAATAAATAATGAGTGCGGTTTTGATCGCATTTATAAAAAGAACAACTTATGGTTAGATTTAAAATAAAAATAGGGATTGTGAACATACCATTTTTTCTTTAATAGATAGTTCAATATTCTGATATAGTAGCATACCTATTCTGTAATTACTCGGTAATAACATAATAAGTATCATTATCGTTAACATGTTATTAGATGTGTAATATGTAAGCGCATAAAACATATAACAATAATGATATTAGAAAGTTGGGGAATTACAGAATAAACATAATATAAAATAACGTTACAAACATAAGAGAGTGTACAAAATATAATGAAACAAGCTCTCAAGAACTTCAGAGCTTGAATTAAAAAAAAAGAAATGTATGAAAGTATATTGTAATCATTGTGTTATATGTATGTACTATAGTAATGTAGGATATAACATCTCAATCTTATGTTGATAAAATTTATATAAGTTTGTGCATAGACACATTATACATATAAACTAGCCAAGCATATAAGAAAAATTTATTTGTATACATTTCATGGAATCAAAAATATTTTTTTTACAAGCTTAAATACTCCTGAAAATTGAAGTTTTGTATATATAAGTTATATTACAATACTTTTTACATTGTTCATGTGTGAAAATTATTCAAGTATTTATATGCGAGTTACATGTGAATATTCTATGATACGGTATGTACATACACGTCATATTTACAATAAACTAATATTTTATGACAAGCTGATATACAGTGTGCGATATAAACACATCTTAATTTACAAGAGGATGGAATAAAATAGTATATTTTTATAAAAAAAAATGCATAAGCTCCTTATCAGTCATATTTGCATATTCTATAAAAATTCATAATTTGTTAAAAATTCTAAATCATTTAATAATCACTTAATTGTAATGTCTTATTAATTATAATATGTAGATATATGTGTAACATAGTAAAAAAAAAAAAAATATTTTAATCTCATTACTCATTAGAAGGATCACATCATAAAAGTTGAACGTATATTTTATTTAAAAATTTATGATTGTTAAGAATAAATTGTTTTATGCACATTTTTTACAAATGTGTATTTATCACATTGAATCCAATATTTTTCAATAATTATTTTTTTATATCAAATATTAAAAAATTAATTATTAGCGTTAAATGTATAATTAATTTAATATTTGCCATTAAAAGGACTACATATATATATATGCATATACATATATGTACATATATATATATATATATGTATATGTATATATATATATATATATATATATATATATATATATATAATAATTATTATTATTAATGAAATAATGGATCCTTTTTCAGTGATAATATTTCATAACATATTAGAATAATAGTAATAAGAAATATCTTTGATAAAGATGAATACGGTACTTATTTTTAATAGTTGATCTAAAATTTATCTTGTGATTCTGAATGTAGTGACAATCATGAATTTTTACATTTTCTGTGCTTTTCATATTTTAAATGTATAATTATATATATATATAATCTGTGATCCTCTAAATTCGTTAATTTAGTATAAATTTTGATACATACATTAGACACCTCACTTTATATATACATTATTAGAAAATTCATCGTCATATAATAATTTTATCACATGACGTAAATATCATGTAATTAATGATAAAATCAATTTTAAAAAATTATGTAAAAATATGTATAAATTTTCGTCTGTTACTATAGCGGTGGTAAAAGAGTCGCTTTTAAACGCAATTCTTCTTTAATTTTCTCTACTCGTACATGTACCAAACTAAATAAATTGATTACCTAAAAATATTAGATGGTATATTTTAATGATTGCATTAATTACATTAATAGTTTAAACAAAATATTATAAAGTCATACCTGTGCAGTAGAAGACTGTTCTTTCCAACTAACAATTATAGTTGGTACATATTCCATTAAATACTTCACTGTGGCAGTATGTTCTATTTCTTTAAGATCTACTCTTAATTTTATGCCAATATCACAGAGAATAACTTCTATTCCCTCTTCCTTCACATACAATACAATAGCTGAAGCATCAAAACCATCTGCAAGGCCTACCATATGAGCAAAGAATAATTCTGTACTTTGTTCTTGCACTAGTTTTGCACTATACTTCTTTGCATTGCAATTGGCTGCAATCCTGTTGCAAGTTGAGAATAAAATTTGTTAAAGTAAACTGTATGCAATTCTTCTCTACTGTCATGTTGTATTATAAACATACTTTGAACACAACTTAGTTGTCCATTTCTCTGATAAGGATTTATTTTCTATTGCTGCATGAAGCAAACGATGAACTACACAGTCAGAATATCTACGAATAGGAGAGGTAAAGTGTGTGTAAAGAGGCACATTTAACGCATAATGTCTCAAGTCTTGCAATGAAGAAATGGTGGATGAACATATGTATTCTGCACGCTACAATTTTCAATGTTTTAAAATTATTATATATTCTTTCTATTTCTTTAATTATATAAGAATAGAATAAATTATATAAGAGTATGATATTTATGATACATAGATAAAATATAAAAAATATTAATGTAAAAATTTTTACCATCATAGTCTTTGAACACAGATTTATAATGACCGTCATAATATATTTCATAGAATTATTAACTGAAATAGCATTATATTCTGGATCGTAATGACGGATACTGGCTTGTAAGCTTTTTGCTGTTTCACCATTCAAATGAATTCCATATTTTCGCAATGTATCACAAACTGTATTAAGAGAATATTTGGATGGATCTTTATGAATACGTAATAAAGCCATCTCCGGAATTGCAGTATACAATTTTGTAGCGACTGTTACGTTTGCTAGCAGCATAAATTCTTCTACAAGGCTGAAACAATATGCATAATTTAAATAATTAAAAACATTTTCTTTCTATACATACATATATATATATATATATATATATATATATATATATATATATATATATAACGTAATATGAACATAATTTCATAAGTTAATGAAAATATAAATAAGTGGAAACTGCACCTGTTACTATCTTTTCTTTCCTCCAAATGATAATTTACAGGTATTGGAATTCCCTGTTCTTGACTAAGTGTAGTATCTGTACAAATCTGTAATTTTGGTTGGTCTAATCTGAGTGCACCATTATCAAATCGTTTATTTCGCAATTGATTAGATAATTTAAATAAATTATTCACTACATTGGACAATGATGACACTGTGTAATTTCCTTTTATGTTGAGAGAATTTTGGAATTGAGTTTTTTCTGGATTTTCAATCATGGCTTGAGCCATGTCATAAGACAGTTGACAACATGACCTTATTATAGTCTTTGCAAAATGATGTTTCACAATTTCAGCATCTGATGTCATTTCCCAAATTACAGAAAAAGCTAATCTATCTTTACCAGCTGATAAAGAACAAATTTGGCAGAGCTTTTCAGGTAGCATGTGGTAAGTGGTGTGTGGCAAATAAATGCTGGTAGCTCGTTTAGAAACTTCCATATCTAATGGAGAAGAAAATTTTAAATAGTGTGTAACATCCGATATATGCACTCCAACCTGAAATTAATAAAATATGTACATAAATATCTAAATATCTAAAGCACAATGCATCTAGTATCAATTAATATTTTCTACATGTTATGTGTAAATTTAATAAATGCTACAATTACTTCATAATTTCCATTGTCTAAGACTTTACAAGAAATGGCATCATCCAAATCAATAGCTGTTGCAGGATCTATTGTGAAAACACATTCGTGTCTCCAATCTTCCCTATCCTTCATATCATCATCCGTTAAAATATAATCACTACCTGGAAGTTCTTCTAATAACTCTTCTCGATATGGTAATACATCTAAATTATGTTCAAGTATTATTGCCTGTAATTCGGCTTCTATTTCGCCAACTTTACCAACCACCGAAAGAATTCGTCTGCATATATAGTACAAATTTATATTATAAGAATAATAGAAACTATCAATATAAATATTTGTACACTATGATATAAAAAATTTTCAAATTTGCTTAATGCGAACCTACCCTGATGCATATATCTGTTCCCAAGAATCAATACTAACAAGAAACATCACATTCTTATAAAGATCAGGTTGGCTATGGTATAAGACTGGTATCGATTCAGGAACTACTAATGGTATTCTTTGATCTTTTGGATAAAGCAGCATAAAAGAATCTTTTTTCCTCAAACATCCAATTGCTCTTCTCGAATGTACTTTTTCTAATATACAAATGACTTTACCAGTTTTTTGTATTTGTCCATCGGGAAATTTATGCCAATATTTTTCAGGATTTATATGTGCCACAACTAAATCTCCATCAAAAGCACGATTTCTGTTGTAGGTACCAATAATTAACAAATCACGCTCTCCTTCATTTTCCATACGTAAGTAAGCATATTTAGAGGAAGTAGGATTCACACGAAGGTTCCCTTTTACATATTGTACATTGTCAGAAGTTTGCTTTTTCAAAATTTTTTTCATCTTTGATACAGATATATAATCTGAAAATATTTGCTTTGTTTTCACCATTTTTTGAGCATTCTTTCTTCCTTTTACTGTATTGTTTTTTATTATTTCCTTGCTCTTACAACTTTCCTTGTCCTGACAATATTCTTTTGATACATTATCCATACTGGATTCATTTATTACTGGATTCATTATAGATTTTTCCATCTTATTTTTCTTCCAACATTTCAATTTATCACGTATATTGGCCTAACAGAAAATTATTTGTTTTCATAACTGAAGTTTTACAGAAGTTTATTATAGGATATATATCAAAAAAAGACAGAGATAGGAGAAATACTAAACTGTTACATATATTATACAAAATATTTGTATAAGCAAGAAAATATTTGTCAAGTAAAATATTTGTCAAAAGTAAACAAATTTTCTATACATATACCCAACCTGATTTATAATTAAATGGTTCTTGGTTTTCAATTCGTTGTCAGTAGACATCAAAGTACTATTGTCTTTTCTTTTGTCTTTCATACTAGTGTTTTTACTCTGTGCAATATTAAGTCGATTTGTAGTCTTTACAATTTTTAATTTAGGATTCAAAGATATTTGCGACACATCTCCATGTTGTATAAAATCTTTTGTATTATCTTGTGAGAAATTCAATGCGTCTTGTACTTTTTCACTTGTCAAAATCTTATGGTTCTTTGTACGTTTCCATGTCATCATTTGAATATTGGGAGAGACTTTGAATTTATCCGCAAATTGTGCAGTAAGTTCCACTAATTCATCATTTAGAGTAACAAATATTCCATCCTTCAAGGAATCTGACACAGTTTTTTGCACACTATATTTTTGTTTATTCTTGTACAATGCAATAATGCGTTTTTTACAATGAAATGAAAGACGCTCTTTTTTTACTTTGTCAGCTTTCAATGTCGAATATCTAGGCATGATGATGTGGAGCGGTCAGCAATAACAATGATATAAAAATTACAGCTGCACCTACGAAATTTAATTTCAAAAAGATTATAATCAACAGATGCATATATTAAAGTGAGCACAAGTAAAATTTCTGAAATCAAAGGAATATTTTTCAGTTAAAAAGCAAATACTAGCACGTGTACCTGTGTCTACGTGTTATCTATAATAAATCACGTTAAAAAAAATAAATTCACATATATATACACAAGGAACAGTCCGAGGAAATTTGGATTAGATCGAAATAAAATATCATTTTGGCCATTCTCATGAATCGAAAGAAAGTTATCCCTTTTCACGTTGCGATAAGGCACTAAATATATGAGTATTCTATACTCCGCCATTTTTAATCCATCTCCCCACCCCATATAATCTCACTAACCTATCTACTATAATCTTAGCTTAGCGACGAGGCGAGTGACACGAGAAACAAGGAGGGGGAATGGATTAAAAATGGCGGAGTATAGAATACCTGTATATTTAGTGCTCTAGTTGCGATTGATCACAGCCAATTATATCGACCTGTAGGGAGCGTCCCGTTTGACCACGTTGCGATTGACCACAGCCAATTATATCGACCTGTGCCTAGGGTAACCAGCAACGATTAACCAATCAGAGAGTCCTATTTTGAATTGGCCAATTGGCGACGTGGTCAATCGGGTGCCACCCGACCTGTGCCTCACCAGCGTAACCAGCAACGATTGACCAATCAGAGAGTCCTATTTTGAATTGGCCAATTGGCGACGTAGTCGATCGGATAACCTCTGAACTAGTGCAGTCCAGTGCAGCTAGTTCAGCTATAAAGAATAAACTTATATTTACAAGCTGAATTTGAGGTTATATCTTATAGATCGTGTAATGCAAACTAATGAAGTGATGAAAGTGATCGAAACATCTCGTAAGTGAAGTAATTGTTTAATTATATCATAAGAAATTGAAAATGGCCGAGATAGACAATGACGAGGAGCAATTGCCTCAGAATCTTGGCGACGATGTCGTACAAGAAGTTCTCAAGACCGGCACCGATCTACGCCAGTATTCCAGACAAATCGAAAAGGAACTCAAGGAAGTTGAAAACAAGTCGATCCAAGATTATATCAAGGAGAGCCAGAACATAGCTAGTCTGCACAATCAGATTGCTGCTTGCGATAATATTTTGGAGGTTAAGTTGATTAAGACCTATTTGCTTAACATTTCACGGATTTTATATTGTCAACACGTCGACGTGTAAATATTTGAGCCAACAATAACTATTAGTCGCGAAAAAATATGTAATATTTGCACATAGTTTGTCTTAATAGTTATCTTTATGTAGAGTGATATTATTGAAAAAACTTACCTGGAATAAGTTTTGTAGAGATATTAATATATTATTTTTTAATTATAGAAAATGGAATCGATGTTGATGAATTTCCAGTCAGATTTAGGAAGTATTAGCTCAGAAATACTTACTTTACAACGTAAATCTGTTGCTATGAGTCAACAGCTATCTAATAGGCAAATAATACGTGGCCCGCTCAGTCAATTTATTGAGGATATGACAGTGTCTGAAGCTTTGATCGCGTAAGAAATATTTATCGATGCAATTTATAAGAAAAAATATATCTCTTGATAAACTCGATTAATATGTGTCATGTGCTTTGCAGTGGTATTATGGATTGTCCTGTGACTGAAAAGGAATTTCTAATCCAGCTACAAACTCTAAATCATAAAATTAACTTTGTGAAAGAGCAAAGTTTTAAAGATGCAAAATCTTGTCTAGATGTCACAGATATATTAGAGAAACTAAAAATGAAGGCGATGGCAAAGATTAGAACATATTTACTAGAGCAAATTTATAAATTTAGAAAGCCGATGACTAATTATCAAGTACCACAAAACAATATGCTAAAATATAAATTTTTCTTTGAGTTTGTTTTGGCGAATGAAAGAAATGTGGCGGAAGAAATCTGTGCGGAATACATTGATACCATGAGCAAGATATATTATTCATATTTTAAGTCGTATTCATCGAGACTGATGAAATTACAGGTAAAACAAAAAATATTATTTAAAAGAAGTTGAAAGAGAGATACAACATTAGCTTATGATACAATTATTTTTGAAGTTTGAAGAGAGAGCATCAAAGGACGATTTAATGGGAGTCGAAGATACAGCAAGCAGAGGTATATTTCAAAAAACAATATTAAAGCACAAAGGTACTGTTTTTTCGATAGATACAAGAGGTGAGGTTTTATCCTCTCAATTGGAAGCAACTATAATTATACCACACACTGCTAAGACACGAGTAAATATCAGTGATATAATATGTGATTATATATACTTTGATATTTTGAAACATACTTTGATAAAAATCATTATTATAATTTTACAGTATCATTACGAAGCGCTATTCAGAAGCGAACAATATGCTATAGTAGATAATGCTTGTCGAGAATATCTATTCCTAATTGATTTTTTCAAGGCCCGTAATACACAAGCATTAGAAATTTTTAATCAAGTAAGTTTAAACTAATCACGCATATATAATTATTTAATATGAATATTAAATGTACTAGTGTATTAAATTATTTCTCTTCTTTTGATAGGTCATGGGAAAAACATTAAATCTCATGATAAAAAACTTGCAGTCATTTGTTGACGATTGTTATGATACAATTGCTTTATTTCTTTGCTTGCATTTGGTGATGCGTTATCAATTAATGTGTCACAAAAAAGCTGTACCAGCATTAGATAAATATTGGGAGACTTTAACAGCCATAATTTGGCCTAGGTATTTAAATATATTTAAAAATTTAATTGTAATAATAATTCTTTTAAATGCTATTACAATTTGCATAATTACATCTGTTTTTTCAGATTTCAAATGGTGTTTCAGTTAAACATACAGAGTATAAAGGATTGTGATCCATTAAAGTTGAACAAAGAAACTGGTCCACATTATGTAAATATCTAAATGCAAAAGATAGTTTTTATGATTATTATGATATGTAGCATCGTAAATTATATATAATAGTAATGTTCATATAATTGTGAATTTTTAGATCACCAGAAGATATGCAGAATTTAGCGCAGCAATGGTGAGTATAGTTGAGGGATTCCCTTGTGAAGGAGCAACTCAGTTACTAGCAGAACTGAGAGAAGCAGTACAATGTTTCTTATTTAGAATGGCAGCCATCTTTCAAAACCGAATGCAGCAATTAATATTTCTTATTAATAATTACGATCTGGTACTTGGAGTATTAATGGTAAATATATTTTACTTTACGCATGAAAAAGATCCTATGTGCTTTATACATATCAAGAAATAACAAAAGTGTTATATTTAACTTAAAGGAAAGAACACGAGACAATTCCAAGGAAGCGGAAAGCTTTCGAGAGCAATTGAACGCGCGTTCCTCCGAATTTGTCGAAGAAGTCTTGAGCCCGCATTTTGGTGGTATAATCCAGCTGGTGAAGGAATCGGAGGCTCTAATTGAAAAAGGCCAAGCCGACGATTTGAAACGGCAGGAAGGGAAAGCATTGGCTTTGGTGCAATCTTTCACAAACAATTGGAAACGAGCATTAGAAGAGATACATCGGGAGGTATTAAACTCGTTTCCCAACTTAGTGCTCGGTGGTGCGCTAGTGCAACGCGCGATGACGCAGTTGGTACAGTATTATCACCGCCTTCATAAGATTCTGCCGCCGAATGCGCGCGCGCAACTTACAAACATTCATCATATAATGGTGGAAATTAAAAAGTATAAGACAAATTATTAAGCGATTTCTTAATGAAATTGATTCAAGATTTAAAGGAAATTCAAAGCATCCGTCACTTGTTATAAAAGAATCATTTTTCAATATTGTATATAACAATCTTTATAGCTATTTCAAAGTGATAATTATTTATTAAACAATGATGTAAATTTCGTTTTATTACCAAATATTTTTTGTTGGAGAAAAATTAGGAGAGTATCCTTGTAAATATAATCTTTCACAGAGAAATAAATTCTGTACATTTATTTATAAAATAATACAAGCTACAAATAAGATGCTAAGCACACACGCGGTATCGCGTTACCATTCTATACAATAGTGATTAACCCTCCGTACTCTTGTGCACGAGTACATCGAATCACTGTAATGTGTGTGTACGTTTATCTTATATGTATATAAATTAGTATGTATACATACACAATGTTAAAAGTGAGGTCTCGTTACTTTTTCGTCAAATTTCGCGATACCTATGGCATAATTCGTCAATTTATTGATAAATGAATCCAATTACGATGCCAGACGAAACATATATTTATGCAAGTATTGGTATAATCTAATTGCTGTTAATATGCATTGTCCCCATCGCACTTGTGTAAAAAAAATTATGTCCACCTTACATATTTTTCGAAAGAAATTGTACATAAATTGTTATATTACGAGTGATATCACTTGCATGATTGCAACTTACGCTTTACGCAATTTTATATCGTCGACTTATACCCATCCTTCAAACCACAAAAAAGACTTATAAAACTCCATCAATAGCATGTAACACTCCATTCGTTGCTGGCACATTATGAGTTACAACGTGTGCCTCGTTTATTCGTACTCGTCCTGAAATAAAAATAGGCGGCGAGTTATACGAGAAATTATTTCATATATTCAATGTAATTTGTTCTTTATAAATATTGCATTTAATTGAAGATATAATATTAGCACGCGAAGTTTATTATTAGAATACCAATTGCATAAAGGAATGAATAAATCAACATTTGTAAATTACATACCACCATTTTTGTGAATATGAATTGGCGACTGCGGACGAAGGGTGTCCTTTTGAATATAATATCTCATGCCCGCTGTATAAAGAGTTGTAGGAATCACATGCCGCGAGATTATAGCCTTTGCCGCTTCCGCACCATCCTCTTCGGTCCAGACTGGCGCGCCGTTCTTCACAGACGCATCGGTGAAAGCGGAATCGATCGGTGCAAAGATGGTGAATGTCTTTGGTCCTAAGATTGAAGGTTTAGATATATTAAACAATAAAAATAGTTGAGAGAGAGAATTTAAAACAATCTCTGTCAAATTTGCAAATAAATGATATAAAAAGGGCATCTTATCTACCAAGAGTTTATACATCAAAAGTTGCGTTTTTTATGTGAGTTTTTAACTTACCCGCGAGCGTATCCTCTAAACCTGACACGTGAAGCATTCTGAGGAACATGGTGAACCTCCTCTCACGATCGGCTTGTAGAGTCTGCACTAAATCTCCAACCGGAAGCGGGAACATGACTCTGTCGACAGCGTGAGCGATACCTTGAGGAATCTCGATATCCCGTTTGCTGGGCGCGACGCGTGCTCCGTTTATTGTCGTTACCTATTTGCAAACAATACAAAATTACAAATAAAGTGAAACGTGAACCGTGCGATGTAATTATCTTTATTAAGTCTGGTTATCTTTTGTATGTTAATGGCTGCATTTTGTGAGAAGTGGATTGACTTTATAATGCAACATCGAGCATGTTTATCGAGTAAATACACGATTTCTAGTATATTCTAGTGAAGGTCAATAGACTGAGTCACGTACAAATGCATAAAAGCTAATATACCAAGATGCTTAATAAAATAATTCCTTACAATAATGCCTTATTTGTAATTTATAGTTAAAAGAACGTTTTCTTTTGTTAAAGAAAGAAAAAATAATAAAAATGTGAGAGCACGCGACATGATAATAATGTAAAACGATTTAATTAAAAATTCAATTAAATAAATAAAATAAAAAAATTCTAAAAAACAAAATCTTCCATAATATTGTTTTAAATATCAAATTACTTTTATATCGTTCCACTCGTGATCTTGCATCGCATACTCATTTACTCGTAATTGCGTCCCGGCGAGACTGACACCGGTCATTTCGTCCTGCAGGATGTCGATCTTGAAGGCTCCAGGTATAACGTGATGAAGAAGGAGCTGTTAAAAGATTCATCAATATGAATTTCTATGTAAACGTAGCGATTCCTAATATTTATTACAATTATTATTTAGTTAATTATATCAAGAGAGGGGGAGAAAGAGAGAGAGAGATTCAGTAATATTAAATTAATAATAATTAATAATTAAATTTTTACAATTTTATCGATTTTTTGTTATAATAAAGTTCCCTAGGAAAAAAATGTGATGAATCCAAGTTTAATTGATACAATCAGCTAGCTGATGTTAGGGAAATCTATCGTTAGGAAGATAAATTATTATTGTGTGTGTGATATATACATACATATATAATACAACGAGACATACCCCACTTAAGAGTCTCGGATTATCGTGGAACTTTTCTTCAGCTTTCTCTGGTCCTCCCAGCTGTACCAATAACGTCCTAAATGCTTTGTCTGTAGGGACGAATACAGTGTATGGACCTGTAAATAATATTACAATGATAAGTAAATTACAAAACGCATTACATTGTTAAAAAAATGTTAAATAAAATAGATTTCTTGATCTATTTGAAATTAACTGTTTTTTGACCGAAAGAAACAAATTTAAGTAATTAACTATCGAAAATAAACACCTTTTAGTAAAACTTAATTAATTAAGTAGACAAGATTACTATATTCAATTAAATTTTACATTAAAAGAATTTGAACTTCAAATTTAATTATGAGATAACAAAATGATCTTGTTTTTTTTTAAAGAAAACATTTTGCCTTGCTTTTTTTCACTTTTTTATATATTATGATCAAATACATATTATTTCGCGTTCGTTGTTTTACATTTTAATCTCTCATCTTAATGGAAATGTTAATGAAATATGAAGGGACATGCAATCTCGTTTCTGTATCTCGGTTGACGCATACGTACACAGTACTTTTGACATTAATATGTCAATAAATATATTTTATTTTCCAGACATTCTCTTCTTCGAGAGCAGCATGTATGAATTTACTGTTCTATATTCACTATCGAAAGAAAAGTATGTTATTAGAGAACGTAATAAAATTGCACAAGCTTCTAATTGACACTTGGATCTGTAATTAATGGAAATAGACCTGTATATTACTATTAACTAGCGAGAAATAGTTATTGCAAAAATGTTGCTTTTCGCGCAAAAAACTTAATGGCTTGCATTTTTAACAATGCGAATGCGGTTAATAAAATCATTAATATGTGAAAAGAATAAAATATTTTCTGTGAAATATTAGAAATTTATTTCGTGAAAAAAAAAGAGAGAAAGATAAATAAAAATATAAATGACGACAGAAATTAATTGAGATAACATTATTATTTTTTTATAGAAAGAAGACATAAAAAGATATACATTATACAATCGACATATAAGTGTTAATGTGCTGCAAAAAAATTCTACGTGAACTGCATTCTTCGTAATACATCAGAAATGAATTTTACATTAGGGAAGTATTACATAATATCGCATTATAACGCACATAATTTTCTATGTGTGTATACTGTTAAGTTTAATTTACAAAATCAATCTTATTTTATAATTCTTTTTTTTTAGAAAAAAAGAAGTCAAAAAGCTAAGAGAGATAATGAACTAAGCGAGAGTTAATTACGCCGATGATTATAATGAGTATTTAAATCTCGCGTTTTCTTTGCGAGATCTCGCGTAACGAGGAACGCCTTGTCTTTGTGTTCTCGTAAGATAGAGAGGCAACTGTGTCGAAATCTCGGCAAGTGAGTCGTGAGAACATTTTTCTAATGAACGTTGCACGACTAAAGCGAAACACGAGATACAAATGACGGTAGATTGTGTAAAGAGAGACACGGCCCACCAACCGGCATTATTTGTACAACCGTTTGAATCTGACAGAAACTTTGAGATGTAAGTTAGCCTCCGCCTTGCAGTATTGTTGAACAAGACTGCGGCGGTCTTGTAATATTGCGTAGAAAATGTATTTTGCAAAATTATATAATATTCTATATATAAATCTTTATTTCTCTAATATATTATTTTATGTTAATTTATTAAATTTTGTTTCAGGATATATTAAACATTTTTGTTGAATATAATACTATCATATTTTGCTGTATATTTGCTTTATAAATTTTATTCTTGCTATAAAAGCTTCCTCAAACAGTGGAATGCATATATTTGCATTAAATCAGTTAATATTTATAAACGGTTTACAAAGAATTTGCTTTCTAAATTATTCATTGATACTAAAACGACTATATCATTAGATGACTGAAAATCTTTTTTTAGACTCATAAAATCAAGTCTAGGTCAACTTTCCCTTAATATCGATGCAAATTATGAAAGCGAAAGTTTAAAAGTCTCCAAAATCTTTATTTTCATTTATAAAACTTTAAATAGCCATCTATATTTCTTAACATGTGCGTTTCCTATGTTATAAAGAATCATAAGTTTTTATTATCCAAATTATCACAAGCACATTTGAAAATCGACTCACCAGTTTCGTTTAATACATTATCCAATCCTGATTGCCTCAGATACTTTGCCATAGCGAAAAGACCCTCTCTCCTCAATAACGAGGCTAAACCTTCCGACGGATTTTCCGTTGAAGGTAACACGGTGGTGCTTTCATAGTCTTTTCCCTGCGAAACAATATTGCTGTTCTGCGAACTAGATTGTAAGGTGCTATAAGATGATGCTTTCAATGTCGACGAGGCTTCCGTCGATGGAATTCTAGAGAAATGGATGTAAGAGGTTGTCGGCGTCACTGTCGTCACGATTTCGTTTACCGGAGCCATCGTCGGAATAAATTGACTTCTAGTAGATGATGAATACTTGGTGGTCACTCGCGGAATGTGGTCTGACAAGCTCGTCTTGGTTGGGCTGGGATTTAACGCATTGTATACATGGCCCGTGACACTGGATGCCGAGGTCACGTACTTGTCGGTCGTGGACACTGAGTTTGGTGAGACCGTAATGTAAGGAAAGTAATCTGTCGTTGGTGGCTTGCTAAAAATTTAATTTTTTTTTATTTAAAAAACCAGCTGCATGCATTACTTATTACTTTACTAAATAAAAATAGATAAAATGCAAAAATGCCATATTGAATCAAATACACATAGCGGAAAAAAGCTACGTGTAACATATTTCAAGCATCAAGCACGTAGAACAGAAATGTTACAACTATCTATCGCGATTATTTCAAATAAATTAAACTAAAGAATAAAGAGCAAATATTTATGTAAATAAACAAATAATATGCTTATACCTCTCACTATATTTTGAGGTGGATCTAAGGGTGGTTGGTCTGAAAGTCGCTGCTGTGGTGCTGACAGATTGAAGAGACGATCTGGATGTACCAGAAGACACTAAATTTGGATCGAAGCTTGATTCATAATGTTCGAGCGTGGAAGGCTGTGTAGTCGATACGAATGAGCTGGGTGGTAACTTTAGCTCGCCTTTCTTAATCTTCTCAACGATGGATTCAACATCGGTGCCGCTTTCCTTGTCATTGGCATTACCTTTGACACCCTGCACTTTATAACTGCCATCCGGCTGTTCCTCTAATACCACAAACGTGACCTTCTTTGCCGGATTCTGAATGATGGGCGTCTTACCGATCTCCTCAAGCTTTCCGTCGCTCTTTTGTCGGATAATTTCGAAATCAGCGCCTGGTGGTAGCACACCACCCTTTGTTAACTCCTCAAAGATTGTCTTCGGCGGCTTTATGGTTGTCGTCGAAGGTAATAGACTCGATGTCTGAATAGTAGAGCTATCGGTTGATGGTGCAATGGAGGGCAAACCGTTTGGCGCATGAATAAGTTGAATCTTCTTGCCGTTCGGCAATATCAGATCTCTGGTAGTGACATTTCTGATAACATCATCATCGTCGCCGGACTGAGCTAAAGCGAGCTTAAGCTGTTTTAGTAATAGTTCTCTCTCAGAAATTGCGAATTGTTGGGAACTTCTGCTTTTACCGCCGGAATTTTGTTGTGTAGTGCTGGGTTTATCGGTTTGATAAATCACTTTGATCTGCGGCTTCGGTTTGATCTGCTGCGCCAATCGATTTTCTTGATCCTGAATAAGACTGAGTAAATTTTCCGATATCTCCCGAGTCTTGGAATTTATTAGATGTTTAGATGGCGAAGGTGTGGTAGTAGTGGTCGTGCTTGTTGTTGATATTGCTGTTGTTGTATATTTTTTCTGATGATTAGCAATTGCCTTAAGAAAAAGCTCTGCTTCCGATGGTGTGATTCGTCGCGCCTTTGGCGAAGATAATAGTAATGGCGTGGAAGTGGTGCTGACAACAATCGGGGATGATGTTGCGGTTGACAGAGGTGCCGTAGTGGACGTGAGCCTTTGTAGTTGCTCAAGTCGTAGTTGCTCTTGTTGCTTACGCAATTCTTGCTGCTCATACAGCAATTGTTGTCGTTGCTTTTGCAACAGTTCCAGTTCGCGTTGTTTTTCGAGATATTCTTGCAGCTGCACTGTCTGCTGATCGCTAAACAGTGGTTGCGATAAATCTTGATGAAGATTTTGGAAGCCATTCTGGTTGTATTGGCCATTATTGTATTGTTGCTGCTGGAATTGTGGTGTCTGAGCTGAACCACCGCCATTCACTAAATTCGAAGCACTAAATTGTTGAGCGATCTTTTGTTGTTGTCGTTGTAAGAGCTGTTGCACCTGTTGTTGCTGCTGAAGCAATTGCTGCAACTGTTGTTGCTTCGTACGATCGACCTTGTATTTAGCCAAAGAAGAATACGGCGTACTAGATTGTACCTGATCATAAGGGGGAAAGGCTGTTACCCGCGAGTTTTTGGTATCTTGTGTAGGACGTCGATATCGTTGCTGATGTTGCTGTACGTCGCTTAATATCTGGGCTTGCTGAGAGACTGAGAGACGAGGTCGCGGATCGTGCACAATGCGACCCTAGAAACAGAAAATTTCTATTACATATATAATTAATTCTTAAGGATAAAGTAAATCATAAATAAATAAATAAAATGAATAATAAATGTAATTATTCATTCCAATATCTTATGAAATATAGAATTTTCATAATTAAATTAGTGCGCTGACATGAAGAAGAATAGTAATGAAAAAGTAGCGAAGAATATAAAAAAATGAGAATATTGAAAACTTAATTTAATTCTTAGAGTATTATTCTAGTTAATTTTATTTTTTATTCTTATCGTAAATGACCGCAGTTAATTACTTTTTGCATATTTTCATTTTACCAAAATATTTTATTAGACGTGCTATGTATAACAAGATAAAATCTTTTAAAAGCGAAAGCAAATACTTGGGATCTATTTAGCGGTTCACGACAATTCAATACATGTTATAAGCTTATCAGTTATTATACATTTAAATTCTAAGGTTCATTGAAAACTAATAAATGCAAAATTGAGAAAATTACTTTATAATTTAAGAGTTGACACGTATATACTCACTTTTGTTCTGTATCCTAATTAGTGCACAATAAATAAACAGATTGACATTTATGTCACGATACGTATTTTTTTAAATAAAATTTTTAATAAAAAAATAGCCCTTCAAAAATAATTTTTATAATTACTCAAATATGACTTGTGTGCATTCGCATGTGCACAATATATAGTTCGTTATAGGTGTAGAGTAAAAAAGGAAGAAAGTTAATTAGGAAGATCAAATAACAAGATTTTACATTGCAAAATTAACAATTCAATGAATTGAAATTAATTCTTGAATTTTAACAATAAACAATATTTATATAAACATTTATATAAATATCATACATCTTTAGATCGACAGTTGGCTATAGCTCTTGTGTATGTGTGTGTGTGTGTGTGTGTGTGTGTGTGTATGTGCTATGTAATAAATTTAGAAATTTATTAAAGATTTCATTTCTCCAAAGTGTCAAACTTGCTAATTTCTGTTTATTGATTTCATCGCTGCTATTATTGCAATACAAGACTATAGCGTGCTCTCAAATTTATCGTTTCTTTTATTGTGAGCGCGAGGAAGATGTGAATAATTAAGGTGGCCATAATTAAGAGAAGCATTGTTCGATCTTCCTTTCTCTTGGATGCCTTCTGCTGTCATGGACTTGTTGTGAGACAGTCTTTTCTGCGTCTACTCGAGAAAGTGCGACCTACTGCAGTTTCCATTTCGCGTCTTTCGCATACATAACAACTTACATATCATGTTTGAATGGATATCGGCATATATGTATATATACTGGTTCTTTATATAACACTCTCACGGTTGATATCCGCATTTTGCATCATTAAACGATTTCATGTGCAATTTGCAGTTGTCGCGTTTATGAAATATTTATAGTACATTTTATTCAGAAAAAAGTCATGTTAAATTTTTTTATAAGTTTTTATATAAATACCTGAATGTTATATTCACTATGTTTTACGATAATCGTTACTATAAAGTCACTACATTGTCGCTTTAATTATCGAAAATAAAGTACATTATTCCTAAAAAAATTTTATTATTATTTATAGAAAAAATCTGGAATAAGTTGACGATTAAAATAATAGCTTAAATACCATGCAAAGTGAAATAACATAAGCAATAACTTCATAAATTTTCATTTTAAAATGTCAGCACAATAATCCATTTTTGCTCCAAATCAATTATACATTTCATTGACATTAATTTCGAGAAATCTGTTTAACAAATATTTACATGTAATTTTTTACATCAGTATGTTAAAATATTTATATAACATATCGTCGTTTGTTATAGACTATTGAAACGTTAATTACGTTATTCACACACGGAATTTCTCCTAAATTATCAAAAGCAATAATAAAATAATGAAGTTAATTTAAAATCTATAAACAAAAGTTTAATTCAATGTAAGTTCACGATAACTTGACGAGAAAATAATATTAACGAGAAAATTTGTGCTTAATTTTTATTATATAATTATTATTGTTATTTGCATTGAAATAATTTTATTATATTTACATACATTTCTTGATAAATCTTGCCTGGTGTGTCAAATGAACTTTTTTTGAACTGACAAGTGTAAGGTTATTAATACTGGTTTCAATAACATGCTAGTTCAACTTCAAATACCGTGACAAGATAATTTTATATGAGGGCACTGCAAGTAATTTTTAAAATTATTCATACATCATTGCATTTTGCAAATTGTATTTTTTTATATCATATTGGCTATAATTTTATTCTTTCAGCTTACTAATATTAATATGATGAATGGATATAAATCTTTTATATCATGTCAATGATCATGATAATGAAAACTAATGATTCATAAAAGTGTTGATGGAAATCGATTATAAGACAAAAATTGTGTATTATTTTGGCGCTGTGACACTTGTTAAGTGTTACAGGGATGCGATTATGCACAATCTATTTTGAACTTTCCATTTTCGCATTTCTTGGTGTGTGCACTTTGATCTCACTAACTAGAAGCGGTAAATATCAGTTCTGTAAGCAATAAAAAGTAATAATCTTCGAGAGCGATCAATCCTTCCCTCGTCTGATCCTAAGCGATCAACATGATTAAGTTGCGCGTTAAGAAATCGCAGATTCCTATTGCTTTCTAGTATTTGCCATTTTCCGCAACCAAAAACATTGAAATCTAGGACAGCAAAATATATTTTATAGGAGCATGCATATAATGCAGAATAGTCGGAATATTAAAATTTGTGAAAGGATAACGCTTAAATGATGCCAAGAAACATGCGCATTTCGAATTATGGAAAGAATTTTTAATATCTTTTCTGGAATTGAATCTCTCTCTTTTTTTCTCCTTCTCTCTCTATGTCATAGTTGCAAATGAGCCACCTGACAATTTATGCGATCGTCTCGAGAAATAGTTTGCTTCTGTCGGAAGATAATTGAGGCCTAGAAAGTGACGACGTCTTCACAGAGAAACTTCAAAGTACTGTAGTAAGAATGACGAGGCATCCTATTCGACGATTTATCACACATATTTAGATTTTGCGGAAATTCAACTCAAAATCGTCTCAAGTATTGCATCGACAAATCGATAAATAATTATAAAGCTTTGATGTGTGAGCGGAAATGCTAAAAATAAAAATTTCCTCCTTTTCCAAATGACATTTGTAGAAAGAAAACTTTTTGGAAACAAACACAAGAGTGCACAAAAAAATTAATTTTACTTTTGTTCTAAACATAATTTTAAAAGAATACTTTTATTTCTTTTTCTATATTTTTGTTTTAAAAATAATTTTAAGGGAATATTTTCACTTCTTTTTCTATTCTTTTAAATCTTTGAGTATATGAAGAACAATGTTTTCTAGACTCCTATACAGATTTCAAAGCTGCTAAAAACGAACAAAGACAATTGTGATGATATTTTGCAACCGACAGTTTATACTTATACATATATTTAACAAAACAATGTAATGCAAAATGAAGCCTATAGAGAGGGTCAGATACTTTAACGAACATATATATTTATTATTATATTAGAAACCACAAGTCATGTATAAATAAGTTTCAATAGATACGTAGCATTATATGTGCACTATTATATGTCGCTTAATATTATTGTAATTATAACAATTTCCGTGTTCAGAAACAGAGCACTCCGATTAATGCGATTTACACGAGAAATCCTCTTACTTTCGTATTATCTACCGGATGTTGCAGTAAATCACTTCATGAGTGTACGATATAATTGCGGATTTAACTTGTCGACTTGAATATTTTGAATTTTCAACGTTAAACACATCACAATGTTTTACAAATTTAATAAATCGCAAATTATTATAATTTAAAATAACAATTATTTAAATTTAATGGAAAATGATTTTATTATGATTGTTTTACAATCGTAAAACTTAATTTATTTTATAATTAAAAATTTTTTAAAAATATAAAACAATTGTGTGCATAAAATATAAAACAATTTATAAGCTTTTGTGCATCCACTAAATCCGTCTACTTTTCTAAATATATCGTACGCAATTTTCAAAAAAGTGATAGCAAAGGAAATGGAATATATAATTCATTCCAAACATTTAACGTCACAACATTCTCTTACTCGCTTGAAGCGATTATCGGTTTTCTAGGCAATTCAAAGCTCAAGGAACGAGTTTATAATATTCGTAGAGAAAAGGAGCTAGGAAACCGCGATTGGAATAAACGTTCCCCTTTTTTTCTACCTGTGGGAAACTCACAACCACTGGACTGCACTTAGCTTTTACGATAGTCATGCATTGCACGATAATCACCTTGATAAATATAGATAGTGTAATTGTTAAACGATGAGAAACCATTGTTGTTTTGATCAATGTTGATAATTGGAGAAAGAGCTGCTGCATCTCTCTGTTTTCATGTGACGTTATAACAAATTTATCTGTTTTTCTTAGTGCCAAAATAAAAAAATTAATGTGATTAAATTTTAATTATAGAGTAAAAATATATTCAAAGTTCAAACTAGTTTGATTTTTAAAATTTAACTGTTTTAATTTCAAATCTTTTTAAACTTTATGTTGAACTTTAACTATATTATTTATTGGTGAATCTATACTTTATAGAGTAGAGTAGAGTAGAGTTTCACGAATTAGTTTTATAGTATATGCTTTCAACTTCTTCAATGTATTATAATTTTTTGCGAACGGTACATATAAGTTCGTTTTATATAATCACTATTGTAATTAATTTATTTGTAAAGTATTTTGCTTAAAAGTTTGTAAGAGAAATATTTAAAAATATTTTCCATTTTTTTTAAATCTGGAAAAGATAAAATATACGTATTCTGTGTAGTACGAGTACTGTGTAGATTTTACTTCCTACATTATATTTTTCTACATTCAACCGTGCCCATATACATTTATTCAAAATCAGAATGTTGTAGATAAATAATGTTGATAATCACACTGTACTACTCTTATTTTACGCTCATGATTGCATAATTTGTTAGCATGCACGAT